CCCGCCTCTCACACGTGTCTCGGCAGCACCCAGAGAGAGCAGGGACCACCGCCCCCTCCGACATCCCCAAGCCCTGGCTTAGAACGTTCCACATCCCGAGTGCATGCTGGAAAATGGTGCTGTGATCCGAAACGTGGGCACCCTCGCCCCCGCGCTTAGGGTGGTGGGTAGGATCTCAGGGGTCTCCCAGTCGGGCCCCTTCCTTGTATATGTGTCTGGGAGAGTCGAAAGCAAACTTCCAGTCCAGAGAGCTATCCGCCTCACCAATTTTTGTCGCTGTTGTTCATTTGTTGGCCTCTGCCCGGATCCTCCCCCTCCCGTGCTCAGTCCAGGGGCTCTGCGTCTGGTTGCCTCGATTTCCCACACCAGGGTGGGTGTCGTCTACCGACACGGGTTCCCGGGGGGAATTTCTAGAGGTATCTGCCACTGTTCTCCAGTCTCTCTCCAGAGTGAGGGTATATTTAATGGGATCCAGTCCCAGCTTGACCTCTGACCTGCTGTGTGATCTTGGACTAGTCTCGTAAACTCTCTGGTCTGAGATCCTCTATCTATAAAAACGGGAGGACGACGGTGTCAAGGCTCAAGGCTCTGCCCTTGTAGGATCCTGCGGTGGGGAAACGGGGGAGAAACGGGCGGGGTTTGGTGTTTCTAATTCGGGTTTGGAAACATCCCCCCCCCCCGGGACTCTGGAGCCTCGGTAACCGCTTAGCGTGTCTGTAAGGCAGCTTGGATAAACTGTGTCTTCGGACAATTCCCGCCCCAACACCTAGCCGAACGCTCAGCACACCGGTAGCATTTAGTTAATGTCGAACGAAGGAGCGATTCGGCAGTTCCACCCTCGCCACTGGCCCTCGACTGCCGTCGGCGCGGCTCTCTGACCTCTGGTGCCCCCTCTCTTGCCCCCTAGTTTCTGGTGTCTGCCAGTCCCAGCGCCACTTGCTGCGAGTCCGCTCCGCACTCGGTTCCCGATGTGGCCTCAGGCTCCACCCCGGCGGCCGCTCTCTGCTGCGCGTCCTACAATAGTCGGCTGCTGGGCAGCGCGCGGCCGGAGCTGGGCGCGGCCTTGGGCATCTATGGAGCCCCCTACGCGGCCGCTGCGGCCGCGCAGAGCTACCCTGGCTACCTGCCCTACAGCCCCGAGCCGCCCGCCCTGTACGGTGCGCTGGTGAGTACGTGGGGTGGTGCCTGGGTCTTCGCGCCAGAGCAACAGGGGCTGGGGGCGCGAGCCGCGGCGGCGGGTGAAATCCAGTGACATCGTCAGGGAAAATCTAGGAGGGACACACAGCTCCTATATATATAGGAAATGATTGAGATTGTATGTAAGGGGAGGAAAACAAACATCTTTACAGCGCTTTACAGTTTGCAGGACACCACGCTGTTTAGAAAATGTACTTCCATTAACCCTGTGAGGGGGGCAAGACGGGTATCACAGTTCTCAGTTCACAGATAAGGAAATTGAGGTGCAGAGGGGTTCAAATACTTTACCCAATGTCACAAAGATACAAAGGGTCAGGGAATAGCTCTGGAAGGGGAGACTGGGGGAAAGAGGGCAAGAAGGGGACACAAATAGCAACTGGAATAACGGCAGCTAATATCTAACTGCTGAGGATTCTGCACCAGAGATTCTGCCAAGCGTCTACCGGGGGTGTCCTTCAACAACATACGGGTACTATTATTAGCCCCATTTTTACCAAGGGGGAAACTGAGGCACTGAGTGTCAAACAACTGTGCCCAAGGTCACACAATCAATGTGGGTGGCGGTACGGGGGTATAAACCAGACTTGATCCCTTAGCTGCTACTTTGCCCCACCTCCTCCCCAAATGTAATCCGAAATTCTCTTTTTCTCCCCCACCAGAATCCACAGTATGAATTTAAGGAGGCTACCGGGAGCTTTACATCCGGCCTGGCGCAATCAGGAGCCTATTATCCTTATGAGCCCGCTCTGGGGCAGTACCAATACGACCGGTAAGGTGTGGGGCGCATTAGCAGCTGGCACGGCACGCCCCTCCCCGCGACCCCCCGCCCCCCGCCAAGGTGGGGAGGATCCGGGAGGAACACGGGGGAAGCGGGAAAGGGACCGCACTTCCAGGGCATAGACTGTCCCCTGCCTGCAGCCCCAGGTTCCCAGCCCCAGACCTGTGAGCCGGGTTCTCCCCTCAGTTACGGCGCTGTGGAGTTGAGCGGCGCCGGGCGCCGGAAGAACGCCACTCGGGAAACCACTAGCACCCTCAAGGCCTGGCTCAATGAGCACCGGAAGAACCCCTACCCCACCAAGGGCGAGAAGATCATGCTGGCCATCATCACCAAGATGACCCTCACCCAGGTGTCCACCTGGTTCGCCAACGCGCGCCGGCGCCTCAAGAAGGAGAACAAGATGACGTGGGCGCCCAAAAACAAAGGCGGGGACGAGAGGCAGACCGAAAGAGAGCAGGCGGAAGCGCGGGGCTGCCTACAGCGGGACACCAGAGGTACCGAAGGGGGCCACCATTCCATCCGAGATGTTCTACAGCCCAGCAAGCAGTTGGATATGTCTTTCTCAGCTGCCCTCTGGGGTAGCTTCTCTGGAATGCGCTCCCTGGTGGCGCAGTGGTTAAAGCACTCGGATGCTAACCAAAAGGTCGTTGCTTCAAACCTACCAGCTGCTCTGCGGGGGGCGGAGGGGAGATGTAGGGAGTCTGCTTCCTTAAAGATTTACAGCCTTAGAAACCCTATGGGGCAGTTCTACTCTGTCCTAAAGGTGGCCCTGAGTTGGAATTGACTAGAGAGCGGGGGTTTGGTTTTGGTTTTTTGCTTACCCTAGCATTTTCACCCCCTGCATGCCTCAGGGCCTTTGTCTGTGCCATACCCTCTGCCTGGAATCCCCGACAGGACTGGCTTCCTCTCAGCTTCAGCCTGCCACCTTGGAAAGGCCTTCCCTGGCCACCCAAGCCAAAGTGGCTTCCCAGTTATTCTCCCTCACAACAGTCAGTTTTATTTCCTTAGGCAGACTATCGCTGTGAGAAAGTTAACAGACGCAGAAAGTCTGTCTACCCCCTCTAGGATGTCAGCTGCACTGCTGTATTTTCTAAATACCTAATACCAAGTGCCCAAATGACGCAGACGTGAGCACATGATTGGCGCTCAGTAAATAGTTGCTGAATTAAAGAAGATAACACTAGGCACCCGTGGGTGCTTAAGTTGGGTAAAAACTACTCCCTCCTCCCCCCCCCCCTTTTTTTTTTCAGTAGTTGAGAAACCGAGATCCAGATCTGGAGTTTGGAGCTGCACAGGAGAGGAGTTAGCGAAGGCATGGGGACAGGGATAAGGGCAGGAATTCTCCTCCCTGGAGCAAGTGTAACGGCCGGCGTGGCAGGCCTGGTGAATTACGCCGAGAATGCCCTGAGCGCAGGGCGCGTCTTGCTAAAAGCTTCTCAGGGATGGGCACTCCCGCGGATTTCCCTTGGGGCCTGGGGCTTTTCTCACTCTTTCCTGATTTCCTGCAGACGTTAGTGCTAACCCAGACGCCCGGGGGCTCCGGCTGAGTGACCTGGAAGACCTGGAGGAAGATGAGGAAGAGGAGGAGGCCGAAGAAGAGGAGGCAGTGGCCACAGCTGCGGACAGGCTGGCGGAGTTCCACAAGGGCATGCAGCCACTGCCGGCGCCATGCGCTGCAGCTCGAGAGCGCCGGCTGGAGCGCAGGGAGTGCGGCCTGCCGGCGCCCCGCTTCTCCTTCAATGAGCCCTCCGCGCCGGGAGAGGCTAACTTCCTCCGGGCCGAGCCCGGGGGCCCCACGCTGACCATGCACTACGCCTGCAGCGAGAAACCGCGCATCTGGTCTCTTGCGCACACCGCGGCGGCCAGCGCCGTCGAAGGTGCACTTCCAAGCCCGCCCAGGCCACGAAGTCCTGAGTGCCGCTTGATTCCCGGACAGCCTCCAGGATCGGGCAGGCAACCTGTGGTCCCCAGAGAGTCTGCGTGCGACGAGTCTTCCCGCGTAGCCAAAGCCTTTGGAAACCCCACGTTTGCCCTGCAGGGGCTGGCGCTGAACTGTGCGCCCTGCTCGCGTGGGAGGGAGCCTGCCGTGCAGTGCCAGTACCCGTCCGGAGCAGAAGGTAGTGGGCTCCCAACCGCGCTGTCCAAAAGACACTCGCCCACTGCCCTGCCCTGCCAGTTGCGCACCCTCTCTGCCTCTCTGGAACGCCCAAGTTCAGACCTGTGGCCTCTTTCCTGGCAGGGAATTGTTCCATAGCACTCCTTGAAAAGCAAGTTTAGAGATCAAAGTTCCAGTCCCCTCTCATTTAAAAAGCTAAGTAAAGATGATAAGCCCAGACGGGGCAGTAACTTACCTAGGGTCACTTAGAACCTCATGGAGGAGATAGACAAGCTAGGTCTCTGGACTCGTGGTCCAGTGTTGTGCCAAATGCACCAGGAGGGCACCACCCTGCCCCTCCTGGTGCCATGTCCCCAGCCTGCTCCTCAGAGAAGCCCAGCTTGTCCCAAGAGTTTGTTAGGGTCGGGCAGGCACCAGGACTTCCTGAGAAGTCTGAGGAGGGCCAGGCACATACACTGGGTTTAAGTTCACTTTGAAGCCCTCTCGGCGGCCCACTAAAACCCCTAAGGAGTATAGACACGCCCCTGCGCCCAACACGCTTAGAAGCTCAGGGTTGGTGCTGTCCCCAGACAGCACTTACCACCAAGAGCTCTCTTCAAACCAGGGAGTGACTGTCAGTTAGTGTCTCCAGCCCCTAGCAGGTTTTCTCGTGCTGCTAAGGTCCTAGCGAAAGGGAATTTCACCCCCCAAAAGGACATTCCCCAAGCATTAGGCAGCCTCGAGCAATTAGGGTCAGATCCTGCTCCTTGCAGTAATTTCTCTCAAGATTAACCGCCAAGTTAGAAAATTGGGTTACACTGTTTTTTTAATTTACACATAACGGCGTGCAAATGTTTCCTCTGCTAAGAAAATTGCCTCTAGACCTTCGCTTCCTTCGGAAGAGACATGGCTGACCTCTGATTTCCTAAGAATCCTCACAAACCGGCCTTCGGGTTTTAATCAACCTTTCCTCTCTCAGCAGGTTAGCGCAATGGCTGCGATTTGCGGAAGACTCTCGGCAATGAGCCCCGCTTCTCGAACTCATCTTCACGCTCAGAAGCTGGGAGACCTCGCCAAGGACCAGGGGCTCTCACTTCGCCTAAAAGACAGACAGACAGACACACAGAAACCTTCTAGTGGCAGTCCTTGCACGCAAAGCGGGGGGCTGGGTGGGGGGGAGGGCGGCGGACGTGCACCTCATCAGATCCGACAGAGGTGACAGGGCAATTTGGGGAAGGCCAAGGGGGAAAGCCTGCCCTGGGCAGGGACCAAACCAAGTCTCCCTCCCTCCTCTTGAATTAGGGTCTGAAGCCGCTCCCTCTCCAGCTCACTCAGCCCCGCCTCTCCACCACCCTCCACTCCTTGACTTCACCGCTTCTGACTGACCTGGCCCCCAAGGACCACGTGTGTCTTCTTCCCCCCATCCCTTTGTATCCTTAAAAGTAATCCAACAGAACACGCGCTGTGTGGCCCATCTGTGCCAGGGGCGTTTGGAGAGGTTGGGGTGCGGGTGGAACACAGCCTGGGGTTCTGGGGACAGGGCAGCGAGGCTTGCAGTCCACAAACCAAAACCAAACCCCCTGCGGTGGAGTCAATTCCGACTCGTAGCTACCCTACAGGACAAAGTAGAACTGCCCCAAGGGTTTCCGAGGAGCGGCTGGTGGAAAAAAAATGGCGACCTCCTGGTTAGCAGGCAAGCTCTTTAACCACCGCGCCACCAGGGCACGGTCCCTTTTAATGGCAAGGGAGCGCTGCAACTTAGGTGCCCCAAGGCTTCCTAACCAACAAGCCTGGCCAGGCTGATACCCTGCTGGTTCGTGTGCATTGGAGGTGGGAGGGGCAGTTGTAGGGATAGGGCTTGGGAGAGATGTGATATCTGTCTGGAAG